TTTCATCCTCAAGCGAAAATTTCGGCTCTCGTTTTTGAAACATGAGAACTCTTATGTAGCGAAGGAATCATATTTTTTTAAAATAATTATAATCTAAACTCTACTTCTGTATGGAACACTGTTTTTTAAAAATAAAAACAAAAATAATAAAGAACCCAGGATTATTTACCTAACGTGTTCTTTCCTATTTTCTACATACCTGCACACACACACACACACACACACACACACACAACACACACACACACATATATATATATATATATATATATATATATATATATATATATATATATATATATATATATATATATATATATAAATAAATAAACGAACAAAACAAAACAAAAAGCAATCTCCGTTCAAGTACCTACCGCTGATATTTAGAAATTAATGATTACTATTTATATATCTGTTCCAACATATACAAGATGTTTTATTTGTTAATTGATTGCCAGAGAAAAACCGTTTTCTCCTTCTTTTCTCTCTCTCTCTCTTTCTCCCTCTCTCTATTAATGTTGGATACCCCATAGAATAAGTGTAGCGGTTATGGGGTGTGGGTTGGGTAAGAAACGCAAGGAGATATTCCTCTTCTGTGACTCACAAGGGGGTAAAGACGTTTTAGGGATTATGTCTTCAATTCGACATTTGAAGAGCACATGTAAACTGGTTAAATACACATGCTTGGTAATGATGACGATGATGATGATGATGACGACGATGATGATGATGCGTAAAAGATGTAGAAAGAGAAGATTAAGTTAGCCAAGAAGATTGCGAGAGATGAAAATAATAATAATTTTCAAAAGCAAAAGACGTAGTGGTGGAGGAGTTTCATGAAAAAGAAGTGGAAATTGTTGCAGTGAAAAAGACGCGTACATGATTACGTCGCTGATAAGTGAAATGGGAAACTTAATCTCTCTAAGAATTGTGACTCTGTATTCATCTGAAGCAATAACGTCATGGATAAGGTTGACAAAATAACGTTATGGATAAGGTTAACAAAACACAGAAAAACCAAATAATGCTTCCGCTGTGGCGAAAGAAGTCGAAGTAAGTTCGTATCATATATGATTCCTGTCGCCAAAGGAATATAACTTACCCACGATAGATTGGAGACTGTGGTGTACTGTAAATGAGATTTGGATTCGATTATATAGACAAATGAGATGAAAAGAAAGAGTTTGTCCACGAGAAAACATTTTGGTCATTTGAGATAGTTGTTCAGAACAAGGTAAAATGTCCTGGTCAAAAACAGAATGAAGAAGAAAGAATGCGCAAAATAGAAAATTACAAGAACATCATCAGAAAAAAGTGTCGATTCTGAGAACGCTGGTTATCAAAATATGAGAAGAACTGGAGATACAAAGATTTTTTTTTTTCTAGATAAATCATTCTAAGTTTCTTCTTACACCCCCCACACTTATGAAATCTCCATCAAGTTTCTAGCGTTCTCTCTCGTACAGAAATAGATTACGTGAAGATACAGGGAAATTAATATAGTCGTCATAATTAAAGAATATAAAGAATGTATGTAATTCAACATCTATCAGATCGATGGTTTCTTGTATTTGAAAATTCTAAGAAAATTATTATTATGAGTGGGGAAGTCACAAATCTAACCCAAACCTCTTGACTCGGCATTGAGATTTTACTGATTCTCAAGTTAAGCTCTAAGTACTGGCAATTCGGACAGTCCATCAAGGCCGAGAACGCCATCATGCCGAGGACGCCATCATGCCGCCATGTCATCTGTTTGGGACTTTCCTAAATTAAATCTTATAAAAACATAATTGCGATTGACTCTGACTCAAGTGAGACTTAAATTCTTTGGTTATTTTGTCAATAGAAAATGATCTAGGAGATAGATGTAGAAAGTGCTATGAAAAGATTTGCAGATCCAAAGGCTAGAAAAATGTTTTAGGCCGGATAATAAATGTTTTCTTTAGCTCCTATTAAGTTGTATATTAGAAAAAATTCATTGTTCTACGTTTTCAGTTTTTCTCCTTGTGAAAATGAAAAAAAAAAAAATTATGCTTATAAGGGCAGCTAAGTTCAGCTTGCCCTGCTGCCAGCAACTCTATGGCCGAAATCGCCTGCTATTTCATTGGTTTAATTACCAAGGCGACTATGAAACATTGGACGAAGTTGTTGCATCTTGTTAGTTCTCTTATCCCTTTGGGTCTGCCCTTTTCACAGCTTCCTGTCTGACTCTGAAAGGGGCCAATTGCGGAGGCATATGGCTTCAGTTGAGAATGACTGGGTAGGCCATGACTGGATAGGCTACTCATTGTAGCAAAAACGTTGAGAAAAGTGACGTAGATCTTAGGAGACTTTCTCTTACTGTTTTACTTACAAGGATTTCTTGCAATAAACAACAACAATAACAATAATCCATCAAAAAACTACATTGAACTGTCAAATAAATCCAGAAACTTCATACAAACTCTACAACTATACAAACAAAATGAAGCAGAAGATGAAATACAAAAATAACCATAACATGAAACAAATAAGTGTATAACTAATCTGTAAACAAAATCGGATGACAAACCTGTACATGACACAATTCCATTGCTGCTGATATTGATAAAAATCTGACCCATCAGTAATTGTAAAGCTCTAGCTTGAAACTAGAAACGAAGGCATTAATCTTTTCGATATCACGTGTATACTTCTTTAATTTCTACGGAGGGGTCGTCCAACTTTTTTTCCAGTGATATAAGAAATGCCTGAAGATATTATTTAAAGTAAAAAAAAAAAAATTATTCGTGAACATACCGAAAATTTGGCCCGCATCTTGCCAAAAATAATTCAATAAAGCAAAAATATTTTGTGAGAATTGGCGTTTGCATAATTTAATAAAACACTTTATTTTCTTTCAGATTCGATAGAAAAATAAGTCTAAATATGATATTTATTTTTAAAAATTGACTTGTAATTTTTCAGTGCAATTTTGAAATTAATCCCATTGTTGTTCGCCACAAAATTTTATTTTATTAAATAAAGGCGTGTTTGAAGATTTAAAAAAATATGTTTAATATCATTTTCGAATGAGGATCTTTTTTAAAAGAATTTTATTTTATTCTTCCTTTTAGCAACTGTTAGATTATTTGTGGTATGGATGTACAAAAAGAAAATAATTCTGATATCTCATGTTAAGTGACTATTTTTCATTATCGGCGGAGTATTATATTAATCTAATTTCATATCATCCATTCATTCAATATTGAAAATAAAATTATTAATTATATTAAATTATAAAAGCGTATAGATTAAAAAAATATTTTTTTAAACTCTTGGTTATATAAGATTAAAAAAAATGTAGTTTTAAGCATAAATAACGAATTCTTGGTTATTGCATTGCTGGTCGCCCGTAGGTTTTATTTTTACTTTTCCAGTGCTTTTCTCAAATAAAAATCAGTGGGAGAATGACTGTGTTTCTATATTGTCCTTTAACGTTACAGGCTAGCGTGCGTAATGAAATCTTATTTTCATTCTGTTTTAAGTAAAATGTTAGCATTACTTTTAGAAAAACTAGTTAATTAATCCTTAAATTGACTAATATAGTTCGAAATACATCACTAGTACAAATATTGGATTTAAAAGAAATTTTAAATTTGTTGTTTACATTTTTCGTATACAATGACGGATCGATGAGTCTATGAAAAAGTATTAATGCATTTAAAATGCCTAAAAAGATTATTTATATACGGAGATTAATTTTTCTTTTAATTCAGATTAAATTTAGACCATTATCTTTGAAACTGAAATTCAAATTTCAGTTTAAAGAAGGCATTTAAAATATTTAAAATGTGTCTGTGACGGTACCTAATTTATTTATTTACCATCAAGACATGTGGCAAATATAACCGCTTCACTTATCAAACTTCATCGTATTGCTTTTCAAGACTAAGTGTATAATTCTACAGAAAAAAATTGACGAAATGGTTTTGTTTTTGCGTTTCTCAAATGCTTTGTTGCATCTCTCAATCCCTTCATCGTTGTCAATATTAGGATAAAGAGACAAGACATCCATGGTGACCAAAAAGCAATCATGTATATCATTTTTTCACCATTTTAGACTTTTCATGCGATCGAAATGGAATAGTCCATTATTTATGAGGTATTGACAGGATACGTTAAACTCTTTAATCTTCCTTTCTTTCTTTCGTTCTTTATCTCAAACATAATAATAATAATAATAATAATAATAATAATAGAAGAAGAAGAAGAAGAAGAAGAAGAAGAAGAAGAAGAAGAAGAAGAAGAAGAAGCTAATCTTAGTACGGCACAAGGCTTTCAGTGTTGACCAGTCAGTTAGTAACAAATCGATGAGAGTTATATTTGACTAGATTGCTAATCATTGCTCATCAAAGAGGTGAGCAAAGATATTTACAAAAGATTATAAATGGAAGCTTGCCTGCATGTATCCATCAGATTTCTCTTGAAAAGTGAATTTCCGTATCAAAACAATTACTTAGGGTTCTAATAATAATAATAATAATAATGATAATAATGATAATAATAATAATAATAATAATAATAATGATAATAATAATAATAATCAGAATAGTTCTTGTGGATGTCATTACAAGGAAGCTAATGGATAGCAACGTTAATTAGTTTTAAGTTCTCTTTATACTCGTTCTTCATAAAAACATCATAAGCCTTCAGTATCCGTTCTACTACTACTACTACTACTACTACTTCTGCTACTACTACTACTGCTAATAATAATAATAATAATAATAATAATAATAATAGATTTTCGTGAGAGACGGTCTCTGGGATGAAAGGAAGCGTAGTGGTTGCAGGATAGAGAGAAATAAATCGAGTGGGTCCGGGCTTCAAAACTTTGCGGTTATCTCTTGAGTAGCTTTCCGCCTTGTCAAGTGGTGAAGCGGCTAATTTCTCTTTCTTCTTCAATGCGTCATTTTTTCTTCATCTTCTTTGATTTTTTTTCTTCATTTATCTTCTCTATTTTCTTTCTTTTTCAGTCCTCGATTTTATTTCCTCCATTTACTCGTTCTTTATTCTGTTTCTTCATTATTTGTGCTTTCTTCTTTTCCTGAATTATCTTCCTTTTATTTCCTCTTTTCATTCTTTTTCAATCTTCTTCATTTTATTTTCTCCTTCTTCCTTTTTCTTCTGCTTCATTCTTTTTTTTTTAATTGTTCATTATTTGTTGCAATTGTATTTCTTATTTTTCTTCATTCAAACTTCATCGTCTGCCTGCTTCCCTTTTCTTATATTTCTTGTTTTTCATTTCCTTCGTATGTCTTTCATTTCCTTCGTATATCTTCCTTCTTCTTCTTCTTCTTCTTTCTATTTTATCTTTATTCATCACATTTCTTTTCTTCTTCTTCCAATATTTCTTCTTTAGCTCTCTCTCTCTCTCTTCTCTTTTTCTTTTTACTTCGCCACCGTCGTCGCCAGATTTGACCTCCTATAAAGTAAACACTTATCTTTGAGATGCCCAATCAAACTTTTATCTTTTATCAATTCAATAACCTTCTCAAATCTCTTTGTCTCTTGAATCGTGTGCATATACGGCCGCCGCGGTCGCCTAGATGATTTTCAAAAGTTTTAATACACAAACACACAAAGAATCAGAACTTCAGTTCTCATTGTCTGGATTTGTTGACTTTAGAATCAGTCATTTATTCGTTCGAATTTTTGATCTCGAAACTCCGCTGAATCTCTTTCTATTGAACCATTTTCATTTCCAATTTAATTTTTATCGTTTCTTCTTTTTTCATTTGTTTTTTTTGTCATCCATATTTTATCAATCTTTCAATTTGCTTCATTGTTTTTCTTTGTTTCATATTTTGTTTTTATCTCTGTTTTAAGTTTTCCTTCTTTTTTATTTCGTTGATATATATATATATATATATATATATATATATATATATATTAAGCAATATACATAATATCTTACATTAATTGCACAAATCGGTGTTTAATGCCGAAGCAATTTTCATTTGTATTTGTATAAGATCGCTCGCTCTTATACCTACGTATATTTACCCATTATATATATATATATATATATATATATATATATATATATATATATATATATATATATATTGATTAGTTTGATTTCTCTGTATCCTTGAAACGTGAATTATGAATTTTTGCAGTGCCTTTAAAACCCAGTAATTTTAAAAATAAGTTACGCCAAAATTCACCTTGGGAATAAAATGGAACTAATGTCTTTAATTTAATTACACAAATTAAATTCGAAGCTTTTTAACTTCCATTTTTGAAACATAGTTAGAACTGTGTATCGAAAAAAAAAACCTATTTTAAATCAGTTAATTTATATATATATATATATATATATATATATATATATATATATATATATATATATATAAAACATAATAACTTATAACATAATAGTATCTTAATTTCTTCCTTTATTTCCTCTTTCTTTTATTACTTTCTTTTCTTTTTTTCTTCTGTACTCATTTACTTTTATCTCAATTTCGTATTCCCTTTCTTTTTGTTCCTTCAGTTCTTTTTTTATTTCTCTATCTATCCTTATTTTTCATTTTCTTTGATACCTGCCTTCTTACTTTCTCGTATTTTCTTTCTCTTTTCTTTCTTTCTTTCTTTCTTTCTTTCTTTCTTATTTTTGTTTTCTTTCCTTCACTTCATCATTCCTTATTTTCTTTTCTCGTTTGTTTTTTTTTATTTTAGAACTATAATTTTCTGAACCACTTCCTTCGTTCTCCCTCATTATCTTTTTTTTTTTATTGCAAGTCGGTTTAATTCTCTCTCTCTCTCTCTCTCTCTCTCTCTAACTTTCTCTTTTTTATACAAATTTCATTCTTTCTTTCTTTCTTTTTGCCGCCATCTTGAAAGCGTCTTCCTGCTTTTCATTTAGCCTCTTTTCCTCCGCCATTTTGTTTTTATATTTACCACTGGGGCGGTCGTTCACAAACAAGCACTCTTCGGGTGAATTATCCAAAGCTAATGAACCCCTACAAATATAAAGACGAGCTGATCGAGGAAGTAGATGAGAAGAAGAGGAAGGAAGAGTCAAAGGACTTCCACGAGGAGGACAACGGCGATATTGTCAAGTGGACTTTAACAATTTTGTGGCAAACCATACGCTGGTCTCAGAAATCATTTAGGTCAAATGAATGTTTATGGGGCAGATGGTATTTACAAAAATAAGGAAAAAACAGCGTGTAATGTGTAAGAGAACATCTTCAAAAAAACTAATACATATATAAAAACAAACACACACACACACACACACATATATATATAATGTTTTATATATATATATATATACATACATATATATATATATATATATATATATATATATATATATATATATATATATATATAATGTTTATATATATGCCGGGTGTAACAGCAAAATTGTCCAGTTGTTAGATTAAGCTCTGAGCCGTTGTATCTTAGAAATGATTAAAGACATCTTACTGGAATTCTCTGAGCTTCTTATAACATTACTAGACTAGACTTTGTGCAATAAGAACGTATAATTACTCTCCAAGCGTAACAGAAGAATCGTTATGAAATCGATCATAAACGAAAATAATATATTCATCATTAATTAATCATAGCTAAGGATCGAAAGCTCATGAAGAATCATTTTCCAACTTATTTATGTTGATCGTCACCCTCTATCCTTCTAACCTTCTGTCCTGGAGTCATAGGTTTTACGTACGATTTCATTTTCCTTTTTTCACTTCTCTTTGGACTGTCATAGATGAAACACCCCTCTCACCTGTCAAACATCTTATGGATTGAGTTGGATCTTTTCTAATTGGTCTCTCTACCTCTAAGGTGAAATGATGATCCCTCTTCCTATTGTGACCACCTAATCCATTTTTCTGATCCCTCTTTTTTAAACATAGTCACCGTTCTCTTGATGGTTCTTGAATAGGCTTTGAATGTATGAATATTGGTACCATTACCTAAGGCCAGAATGATCTTTTTCCTCTCACCCATTCCTCATTTGGAAATACAGTGGGTTTGACACAAAACGATTTTAAGCTGTTCTCTTTCTAGTTGAATAACTCAAAGGGTTTTTCAATGAATCTTGCGACAAATGGTGTCAAAATGGCTAAATGTCTTATCTGAAAACCTGGAAAAAAGAAACTGAGTTACTTTATTGTTTTTTGTCTTTTTTTAGATATTAAACGTTTTGTGGGGTGGACAATTATGGTGTTACAAGATTTGGACAATTTTGCTGTTACACCCGGTATACACACACACACATGTATAAACAAATATATATATATATATAAACTAATATATATATGTGTGTGTGTGTTTGATAACGATATATATTTTTTATATCAAGTACAATTTTGGGGGAAAGATGTACGACAAAGTAGAAAAAGGCTTTTGTGTGACGCGTTTCGTCCTTTAGGACTTCATCAGACTAAATTTATTTGCGTTGATGCAACTGCACATACGCACGACGACAGACGCTAGGAAGTTTTGATTTAAAAATAAGTTTTATATACTTATATATGGGTTTTAGAAATTGTTGTGGATTCCGGGATGAAATCCGGTACCAATAAATAACAAACGCCAAGAATGAATATAGGAAAATAATGTATTAACATAATAATACAAACTGGTAAAGCAGGTTAGTAGTTCCAGGGAATACGGGTTAGTAGCAAAATATATATATATATACAGTCTTTGGTATTGAAGTATCGCTGTATGACTTCTTACTGAGTCTACGTGCTTGCTCACTGTGACTCTTGCTGGCTACGTTCGTTCTGTCTGTCTGTCTGTCTGTCTGTCTGTCTGTCTGTCTGTTACCTTCACCCTCGGTTGCTCTCGTCTCTCGGGTCTTCATGTAGCAGTAGTATATGTATATACTGGGTGAGTCCATTTGTGTAAAAAAGGGGAGGACTCCTCAACAGAAATATAATCTAATTTCATTTAGATTCTTTTTCTGTTTGCTTACTTTTTATTAAATATATCACATTGTCATTAATAGAAAATCATCCAAGAAAGGAGAAACGTTGTAAAACTTGGACGCAAATTTAATGTGGATGAATTAGCGATTAAAGCACTATCTAAACATTTTCGCCTTAATGATTTGTATTTTTTTTTTAAATTAGAGTAGCATTTTTCAGATCGAAATTGTGTTCCGTCTTGTTGCGGTGAACAATATGAAGGTTTTTTTTTTTTTTTTTTTTAAGTTCTCGATTGTTAGCACATAATCTTGGTTGTGTTGATAACTTTTCAGCATCCCTTCATATAGAAGAAATCACAGCATAAATCCTTATGCTTGGTCAGATTTTGCGAAGTGGATTGAGCTGATCTGTTTCTGCATGAACGTATATATATATATATATATATATATATATATATATATATATATATATATATATATATATAAGCATATATATGGATATAGATCCGACACTATGAAGAAAAATACTGAAAAAACAAACAAAAATCCTAATATGCGATTATGCTGTTTTAATGTTTAATGTCAACGTCGGACGTTTTGGTCTAATAGACCATCTTCAGGACATATTCATAAAACATAATTAACATAGACCATATACAATTCAACATGAAAAAGACTATGGACATAAAAGCAATATGTGATCATATAAAAGATTTCAGTTATCTGTTTGGATTGGTATTACTATATATATATATATATAATTTAATATATATATATATATTAATACATATATACATAATTTATTATACAATTTAATATATATATATATATATATATATATATATATATATATATTATATACACAATCCTATACCAATATATATATATATATATATATATATATATATATATATATATATATATCTTTCTCTATCTGTGCTTTTGCTCTTATCTATCTATACGATTTTGTTCATATATGTTCCTGTCGATCTCATTGTGTCTATATAGAACATTCTCGTTCTCTTTTTCTTTCCACTCGGTGCTTCTACTCATTACGGGCAAAAAAAAAAAACCTTTCCCTCTCCTTCCTACCCATCTTCGTTTTCATCTCTGTTCAAATGTTGTCTCTCGTCCCATGTCAACCCTCCATCGTCGAGCACTTGTCATTCGTTCTAGATGAGGCTAAGACACTGAATCAGATCTGCAAAAGTAGAAAGCTGGTCGACCAGAGCATTTCAAGATCGGTTCGAAAAGCGAAAGACTCATTTCAGGCAATACCGTAAACCTGGTCGCTAAATGAGCACCCAGATACATAAGTATGTTTTCAAGAATTAGCTGTAAATAAATAAATGAATAAATAAATAAAGGAATATGAAAAAATTAAGGAGAAGGAAAAAATGACGACGGGGAAAAGAAAGAAAGCAAAGTCAAGAGTAAAAATGAAAAAGGTTTGAGAATGCTATTCTCTACCTTTATAAGAGTGAGACCAGGCCGAGTACTGTCCGCCATATTTGGGCTGGACCTCTTCCGGTCTTTATAGATTTCAAAAGCGTTATCGAGTCCTTACTGGAGAAAAAATATTCCCACTCTCCAACCTCTCTCTCTCTCTCTCTCTTTCTCTCTCTCTTTCTCTCTCTCTCTCTCTCAGGCGGGATGTGGTGAGTCTCTCACTGTTCTATCGCTATGGAAAGTGCTCGGACGAACTACACCCCTTGGTTCCACCAGATCTAACCTTCACGGCTAGGACCCGCCATGTCACTTACATAGAAGCAAACCACCTACATTCCCTTCGTATTCCATCGACGAGAAGTAAGTTCCACTCAAACAGCTTCTTAACATGTTCAAGTCTAGTGCTAACCGTTATCTTCCCCTCGTATTTATATAAACTATTACTTAGCATAACCTTCTACCTCGAGTTGCCCTCGGGCCTTGTAGAGAATGAATCTTACAGAAAAAAAAACGTCTAGGTTGGATAATCACGTCCAGTGAGACGGTTTCCAATTGAGAATATACCCAGATATCTAGATGTAACTTTCAATTTGCTTTGGTTGACTTACCCTTCAAGTTTAAAAAAAAAAAAAAATAAACTCCAAAACCCTATCCTCTTGAATTCGAAATTCAGTCATAATGTTTCCCTGTTATTTCCGCTCATGAACAGAGATGCAGCAAGTGTCAGTCCCTTGGAAACATGTTCAACTAGTTAATGTCAGCAAAATGACAAGCAAATCTATGGTACTTATCTATTTACTATAGCCCGTCTTCTTTCATCAAGAAAAAAAAAAACATATATGTTAACGCATTCGTCTTCTCGGTCTATATCTTCTTCTTCTTCTTCTTCTTATTATTATTATTATTATTATTATTATTATTATTATTATTTTTATTTTCTTTGATTTCTGGCGTTTACACATTTCTTTCCGGGTCCCGCCCAGGGACCTAAGGTTAGAAATGGCGTCATGACACTTTCCACTGACAAAAAAAAAAAATTTAAATTACATAGATAAAGCCCTTCGTAAGGTGTGGGCTGTATTTGTCAGAACAATTTTTTGTATCTCCTTGAGGCATGGACTTCCAGGAATCCCTTCAATTAGTCTACTGCAATCTTTTCCAACCAGTCCTAGGGCTCCAACTACAACAGGGATTGTTGATGTTCCCATATGCCACATTTTCGAGATTTCTATTTCAAGGTCCTTGTACTTTGACAACTTTTTGAATATCTTCAAAGATACATTGCAGTCAGGAGGGACTGCCATATCAATAAGGAGGCACCGTTTTTGTTTGTGGTCTTTAATAACAATATCTGGCCGGTTGGCCTTGATTGTTCTGTCAGTGTGTATTGTGTAATCCCATAGAATTGTAACCGGGTCTGGGTGGTGTTCATACCAGTTTTTTTCTGTTTTCTTCCCGTAGAAGTTGCAGATTTTCCAGTGCAGATATTGGCCCACTCTGTCATGTCGGGTTTTATATTCAGTGGGTGCCAACACCGTACAACCTGATACAAGATGATCAATCGTTTCTGGATATTTATCACAGAATCTGCATTTTGGGCTGACACAATATTTTAGTATATGTGCTTGATAATTCCTAGTTAGCAAGCATTGGTCCTGCGCAGCAAGGATAAAACCTTCAGTTTCCGCTTTCAATCCCTGCACTACGTAGCCACTGATGGGTACGGGTTTTGTCTGCGTCAGCTTTATTATTATTATTATTATTATTATTATTATTATTATTATTATTATCTTTCTTCGCTGTCTCCTTGGTTACCTTCGTCTTCTCCTTCTATATTTTCTTTTTCTTCTCACCATTATCATTATTATTATTATAATTATTATTTTCTTTCTTCGCCGTCTTTTTGGCTACCTTCGTCTTTTCCTTCTACATCTCCTTTTTCTTCTCACCATTATTATTATTATTATTATTGTTGTTATTATTATTAAAAACTAAATGAGTGACGTCATTCTGCCAATATTTTTCAACAGTTAAGAAAAGAGTGCGATTTAAGATAAGATAAAGAAAAGAATAAAAAAAACACTGATAATGTTAATATTTCAACTGAATGTCTGGCTTTTTCAAGTTCTATTTAAATAAATTTTTTCAACAAGAAAAGCATAAATCTAAAAAAAAATATAATTTTAATTTTTTTTTTTTTACAAACGTTGATTGTCTACGATTTAATACTGATGAAATACAGTAATTGTGGCACAAGGCCGAAGAAAGGGGAGATGTGTCAAGGCTCGTCGAATCGTTACGATTTACTCATTCACCATAAGAATCTATCCATCACAAAACTAATGAAACGTCGCTATCGTGTAGGCATGAAACTGAAAAGTGCTTAATATGATGATGAACTTGTTCATCTTGGAATTTTCCGTTAATTGATTCCTTACTAAGAGGAATTAATCAAAGAGCTTAGTATAAATTTTATGAAACTCTCCTGTCATTCTTTTCATCCCCAGGGCCGGGAAGTTAGTAATTTGTCAACGTAACCATCCTCATGGGTTTTAAGGGTCTAAATGTCGGTAGATTTTGAATATTTTTCGGAATGTGCGCCTGTTTGTCGAAATTATGATAGTAATAAAATGTTCTGCAAGCTCCGTTGATGTCACATTATTGTACCTGACATCATTCCAACAATTATTTAATATATTTTCTGTTGATACGTAAATTAATAATGTTTATATATATATATATATATATATACACACACACATATATATATATATTGTTATCTGCAGACAGACTGTTCCGCAGCTCATCAGCGTGGTTAGACATCCGATTGCCCTCAAGCCGGTGCCCCCGAAACCCGATTGATTTGGCATCAATCGAAGATTTTACCCTGAGCTATTAGCGCAGGGTGAGAGGAGGGCGAATTTTGACGTACTTATATATATATATATATATATATATATATATATATATATATATATGTGTGTGTGTGTGTGTGTGTGTGTGTGTGTGTTGTGGTAGGGTCCACCTAATTTGCATAGTGTAGTACCGACCATATAAATATGGTTGGTACCGGGAAGAGAGGGAGGAATCAAGAGATTCAACCAGATACTCTGCCCGACTACGACTCAGTCAACACTTTCTCCAGGAACGGTCTTACCAGGAATATACAAAAGACTATATGTAAATATTGTGTACACTTTCTTGTTTCAATACATTTTGTTCTAAGTACATTTTGTGTTGCATTATTATTCCATGCATTAGTCAAGTTTCAACAATATGTATATATATATATATATGATGAAATAAAAGAAAAAGTAGGAAATAAATATCAATCTTACTAATGCCACCCTCATTAAAAAAGAACATGCCTTGAAAACTTAAGTAGAAAATACATTGTAAACCTAATAGTAGCATTATTGCCAACTATAAACACACGCCTAAAACATTACATTACATCTCCATTTTTGTTTGAATCCATTCTTAAAGAATCTAACTTATATCTATCTATTACATAGAATACATTCCTAAAGAGGCGAGCCATAAAATTATAACCCTGCAAACTCCCGCTGCTAGGGTAGGCCGCACAAAGAAGAAGATAATGAACATCAACTAGACAGACAAATGCACACAATTACAAATACATATTACCATTCGTTGACCACTTAAATGTACAAGTATCTTCCCAAAAATACATATACATAGAATTAGCCTCGGTTTTAATACACGTGACATGGGTCTGACCAATGAGAACTGACCCAAACATAATTGAAAATACCAGTGTTTTCTGGGGTTTTTTTTTGTCTGTTTTCACTCAATCTCTGAGAAAGCTTTAATAAAAATGAAACATGTTAGATTGATATACGTTTCCTACTTGTTCTTTTATTTTATTATCCTGTCGGATTCCGATGCATATTCATCTACATTTGATTTTTAATTCATATATATATATATATATATATATATATATATATATATATAATTATTTAAAAATTATAACATAAATATGTTATAAAATCACTACAAAAATATGTTATAAAATCACTACATATTTATGACTTCTAATGTGATATTTATTTTTGTAGTGATTTTATAATATATTTATGTTATAATTTTTAAATAAATAATTATATTCGCTCTGCTCTGTATTGAGCACTCTTTTTAAGAATAGTAATTGTTGGTTATTGGAATTTATTCCGTATACACCAATCATATACTTGATATATATATATATATATATATATATATATATATATATATATATATATATATATTATTATTATTATTATTATTATTATTATTATTAATACTAAGTAGTTTATTTTCAAATATCTGCTTGTCGTAAACGCGTTATCCTCCAGTATTTAATTATCGATGTTTTTTTTAGGCTTTTAACTATATTTATAGAGCGTTTGTAAATATAAAAGTGAAATCAACACCGAGCGGCGACAGTCTGTTTCACGCTTGACCACAATCTTCAGAATATATATTTATGACTTCATCTCTCTGATGGGATATTTATTTTGATGTGACTACAATGTGCAGAAAGGGACGCTAAAATTTAAAACTTTTAAATTAATTTGTATCTGGGCGTATGTGTGTGTGTGTTTCGTGTGTGCGTGTGTTCCACTTTGTCATAGATTTTCAAAAAATTGTTCTTATATATATATATATATATATAGTGAGAGAGAGAAAAAAAAAGAGATATGGATTGAATCGTTTTCAAACAATTGTTATCATGATTAATTTTTATGAGCGGTGGCATTGCCGATCCTGTTTCTTCCTGCAACCATATTTATTCCACTCTGTTTCCCAAAAGTTGACAGATGTTTGAACAGAAACTTCATAGAAACAGGAACCGGAAGTGCTTCTCTCAACTCTCTGGTTTGATATTATCGACAAGAGGCTGAATAAAACAGATGTTTGCCCTAGAGTCCGACTGTGATATTTTTTCCTTTATCTCAACGTTTGCTGCTTCTTTTCTTTTTTTTTCTATTTCAGAGTATTTTACCTCTGTCGTCAAAACGTAATATCAATGCTTAAATTTAAGTTGAATGTAATTGCAAAATTAGTTTCGATTTGGCTATGAGCTTGAAAATAGCCTAATATCCAAGAATTATTTCTGACATAACTTAGATGCTTTATTTGTTAAGATTAAAATAAGGTAAAATTATTTTCTTCACTGCGTTGACGACGCAAAAGAAAAAGAGCTCTAAACATGTTTATGTTACGGACTCTTCTGGTGAGGTTGAAAAGTGCCATGCAAAATAAATGTACATATAGATGTATATGCGTGTACTATATGCATGTCTTCTTATATCGTTGGATGGAAACAAGGTTATGATGAAACCCCACATTAAATTCGGTGAATATATGGTTATTTGTAGGAATCCATTAATTTTTGCAAAAGGATTTCGCGAAAGAATGAAGAATTGTTCTGGTTCTTTCTTTCTAACGTCTCTCTTTTGTTCATTTTTATTTCCATTCTGTTTAGTTTTTCTCTTTACTCAATAAGCATTTTATTCACTCCCTCTTTCTTTCACATCTATTCTCTTCAGTAATCAGGCAATTTTCTTATATTCATTTTTTCCTTTCGTGTTTCTGTGTTTCAATTATTTAAAACCCATTTCTAATCTTTCTTCCTCAGCGGATTTTAATTTCTTTTTTATAGTTATCAATTAGTAACGTCCCTCTTCGCCGCCATCTTGCCGGCCATCGTCGTTTTCTCGTACATTTTATTTATTTTTTATTATTGTCTTTTCTTCACTCTTCTTGGCTATCTTCATCTCATTATATCTTTCTTTTTTATCATTCCCTTTATCTTTCTCCATTTTTCTCCTTCTTTATTTAAAAATAAAAATATAATCGACTCTTTTCTACCGACATGAATTAATTTTCTGAATTCGATTTCAAAGAATTTATTTTCAGACAAACTCATTCTTGTTTAATTAGCTGAATATTTTGATCTTCTTGAAAATTTGTTTTTTAAAAAAATCTAGCTTCCGGTTCCTCGGTAGGGACTTGTATTGAACTAATTTTCAGTTCATAATATTAAAAACAACCTTAAAATATAAGTTGTGCTACAAGTTTGATGAGTTCGTTTCTTTTTTTCTTCTTCCGTGTCTAGATTTACGTCTTGCAAGGTGGTTCGGCTTCAATTAAATCTGAAATAAACTTTTTATTGAAAAATCAAATCGGCACCTTGCTTCCGTATGTTTTTTTTTTTTTTTTTGGTGGGGGAGATTTTGTATTTATCAGTGATTTTGGTGCAGATATTTTAGGTGTGATTCTTCTTGCAAATTCAAAGGAAAAACTAGACATGAGTAGACAAGTTAACTCCCTCTCGTCACCCAAAATAAGATAAGAATTATACTAAAACCAACAAAAATAGAAAACTGGATTTAATATTTGTAAACAAGATGGAAACAACGTGTCAATGAATTTCGGTGTTCCGGTAAAGCAAAGTAAATTTAAGCCAGGCCTTCCAAAACTTCGTGGCGATTACAGCCACCGTTTGGTTAAAGAAATTCAGGTTTTTCTCTGCCTGATGGGCCTCACTTATTTTCGGCAAAATCAGCTACAGAGGTCAGGACACCTTTAGAAAAATACTTACAACTTCTTTCAGAGGAAACGCCACCTCGAGACAATTCGAAGCGTATGAAAAAGATTAGGCGTATAAAGACAAATATTCTCGATATTAACTAATGAAATCCGGAAGTGAATAAACAATAATTTTGAGTATGATTTACTTGCATCTTTTTATTAGATTTTACAATAATAACATCAGAATTTCATATTTTTAAAATGAGTGTGTATGTAAGGAGAGGTCGTATGTGGCTGGGGTCAGTTAAGTGCCATACGTGATACACTCGTGACTGACTCGGCAGATATTTTCCTGCAGTAGATTACCGTTTTTAGGCTATTGAATCCAGTCTGTCCTGCTATTCAACCCACAGCTGATGATAAAAGAGATGTATTCATCCCTTTCCCGAAGGTATTTATGCGTAAGTGAATGTAACGAACCCAACTGGAATTCGAACTCGGCTCTCCTATTTCTCATTTCGAGCTACAATCACAATACACATCCTTTTAAAAAATGAACTCCAACCAATCAATGCAAGAAAGGAGTTACTGAGTGTGAAAGAATATGAGAAAAAGCAAAAATGAGTTCCACAAGCAAGAAGTGCGACAGAAGAAACTGTTAGCATAGAACTTACGATTACATCTAGCAATTTCAATTGTAAAATAAGACCTATCTACCAAACTAGTACTGCGCTTAAATTCGTAAAGTCGAGGTGCCAAAGATGAAAGTTCATCAGAAAATTACCATAAAAATATCTATAGAAAGATCACAGAGAAGCCATATTACGGTGGTGGGAAAGTCGGGATATTAGGTCAGAACTGATAAAATTGCAGATTCTTCTTTGGATTTTATCAAGAATCTGTAAATACATAGCAGAATCATCAGACTAAATGTGGCAGCAATATTGAACGAACAATATATGAACGAATGGTTGATGTATAAATGCGTAAGATAGATCCTGGCGAGAAAAATGTCCTTGTATATCTGTTAATTTCCTTCTTCTAGTGCAGTTGTCTATAACAATTCAAACTGAGTAGTACATTTGAGGTAGATATTCCACTGCATAAATTACATTCAAAGAAGATCGTTTGTCTAGCGTTATAGTTTGTTTCCAATACAAACTCCTTCAACTAATTCGATTATTTGAAGTTCTTTGAGGAACATAGACAGAAATTATTTGAACACGCTGTTTCTTTATTTTTATCACGATGCTTAATCATTTTAGTCCGCGGCGTTCTTACCATTGTCTGAAGTTCGGAAACGAAATCTTCCCGTCGGATGAATTCTTCAAACGAGTATCGCCATCTTAGTTGTTTCGGTCATTAACAGTTCAATCTGAAATCGAACTCCAAATGATCAATTCGTAAATAACGTTTACACTACTCTAATCTTTCTACTATTTTCCTAAATATTTTTTCTTCTCAATGTTTCGCATTTTCGAATCCGAATTGAAATTATAAGTGAATTTAATGTTAATTTTATTTACTACCTTTTCTTTAGAGTCATGTTGCTTTTTATCAATATTTTTTTTTAAATTTCTACACTGAGTCGGCGCACAGAGACTAATCTGTGAGAAAAAGTGTTAATAATTTTTAAATAACGAATTGAGGCGGAAGAGACTTTTGGAAGATGGAAAGGGAGACGGAATATCAAGAAAATTAGAGAAAATGTGGGCTAATTAGGAACAGAATCAGATAATGAGTTTTACAAGATGAAGACGAATTCGATTAGTTTAGAAAAAGCGATAAAGAATATTTGTGGCAATAGATTTTAGTAATGATAATATGAAAATAAGAGCTGATATATATATGTATGATATATAGATGTATTAATATATATATGTGTGTGTGTATGTTTGTGTGTAATACAGATATAGATATATATGGGTGGATATGTGTGCGTATGCTCATATGATTGAGTCTCGGTTTGAAGTGTTCATATTCTCTGTTCAAAGTTTTTCAATTGTTGTGTAGATGTGACGTGTACAAAAAGACGTAGAATTTAAAAATTGAAATGAAACACCGTATTATTTCGAAATGAAACTAAATAATTAGTAAAACTTATCAAATTTTCTTAATTGCTACTTATTTAATCATTCTGTCGAAATTAATACTTATTTTCAGCTCATACAAAACATACAATGTACATCTATCTATTTATCTCTTCTCTCTCTCTCTCTCTCTCTCTCTCTCTCTCTCTCTCTCTATATATATATATATATATATATATATATTTGAAGAAATATATATATATATATATATATATATATATGATAAAGCAAAATTATATATGAATTATTCACACAAAATAAATGGTTAATGATTTAATTGGCGAGAAATCCAAATGGCAAACAATCAAATATATACAAAAAATTATGAATGAAAAGATCCTTGTTTCTATAAATTTCTGCCGTATTAGTTCTTATTTTTTACAAGCTTTCGTCTGTTATATGGAATAGGATGTTGTTCTTGTTTTTCTCTTAGTAATAAGAGGACAACGAAAAATATATGTATTGTTGTATCCGAAAATGCTATTGAAATGAGTTATTGTTTTTGGAGCGTGCAATCTGAGTTTGATTTTAAATTTTTTTACAGTTGTGCGTTCATGTACAAATATGGTGATAAAAATTTTTTTACTGGTAAATTTTTTCTGTCAAAGTGGCATGAACTATATTGTTCAATAATATATTGTTTAATAACGGAATTATTTGAATTGTTTGCGACGATGGATTTCGCCAATTAAAATTTTTGCATTTGTTTTGTGTGGGAAGAAATTTTATATATATATATACAAACTTAGTCTTGTCCATCCGTCACACCCTCTAAAATAGCCATACATTGAACGATTGAAACTAAATTTTATGGGGAAGTACAAACATGTAAGGGGGTACAAAATACAATTGGTTTTACTGGGGTACATAGCTTAGGACAATAAATTTTCATTAATTCAAAGTTTTATTATTTAATATGCAAAATACCCCCATCTTTTTAAAAACAATTTAATGATTATAATAACTAATACATATTTAACAAAAATACAATATTGTTTTTGCATATTTTTTCTTTAAGTTTTATATATGCAAAAATCCAGTTCGCCCTGAGTTTACGAGAACTATAAACAAATCCCAAGGGCAAACCCTTCAAAAAATCGGAATTTGGCTCCAGAAAGAAATATTTACGTATGGCCAGTTGTATGTTGGATGCTCAAGAGTAAGAAATCCTAAGAATTTATTCTTCGCTGTTAAGAAAGAAAAAGAAAAAAATATTTCTTAAAAACTATTGTTTACCATGAAACCTTATAAAATTAAAGAAATTATCAAACCGCTAAGTAGGGTTTTTGTCAAAGTATTTTCCAAACAAATCAGTTTATTCAAATTTCATCTTGGTTGGCGAAATTGATCGAAAAGAGTTTGTATGTCTCGGCAAAAAACTTCAACAATATTAAATCTTGTGAGGATTTCAAAAATTCTAGTATATATATATATATATATATATATATATATATATATATATATATATATATATATGAAATTTTAAATAACATGCGCGTTTGCATCTAAATATATACGTTTTTATGTATAATATATACATATATATATATATATATATATATATATATATATATATATATATAGTTTTAAGGTGTGCTATATTCATGGGATAAAGTGCTCAATATCAGAAATAGAGCGTATGTAAGTATAAATATAAAAGTGAACAATGAAATCAACACTCAGAGGCGACAGGCTGTTTCATGCTAGGCGCAATCGTCCAACGATATATACATAAATATTTACTGCGTTTGGTATTTGGTATATTATATATATATATATATATATATATATATATATATATATATATATATATATATATATATATATATATATATATATAATACTTATTGAAATCTAAACTTTATTTGTTGAATGATCGCAACATCTCTTTATGCAGTTAAGATGAAAGTCGCTACATTTTGCGCAGATGCAAACACACGACGACTATTTTTATGAAATGTCTCGAATTCTGAAATTTCAAATCTCTATGTTACAAATTCGTTAGCTGTAAAGCAGATTCGATGGATAACGAGAACTGTTTAATAATTCTGGAGATTGCCAAAGATGATGATTACCGAACGTATGCAAAGTACATGAAAAAAAAGAAGCCTTTTCTTATTCTCCGGGGTTAAACTGTTCTCGTTCCACTGCTCCTGTCTAGGGATATCAGATAGTTCTTATTTTCTTTACCTATATTCAGTTATTGCTTGCCCGTTTCCAATGAGAGTAAGTACGCACTCACCCAGGAATTGAAA